GTGTGTGTGTGTGTGTGTGTGTGTGTGTGTGTGTGTGTGTGTGTGTGTGTGTGTGTGTGTGTGTGTGTGTGCGCGCGCGTCTGTGTGGGCTGTTCAAGAGTGGGCGAGTGATTGTATTTCTGTGTGGTTGTCTGTACGTTAGCTTGAGGTGTGCCTGGCATTTAGATTTAACCGTCAGCATCTTAACAAACAGCGTATTTACACGCAGACAACAGTTTGTCTGATTTCTTCACACCTCTTGTTGTTGAAAGAGCTCTTCACATCTACAGTAGATGGGTTGTCAAGGCACTATAGGGCGTGTTTCGTAGGGACGTAGAGTATTACACAACCATCGAAAGATCTCAGCGCTGATCAGACACCCCTGTGGAAAGTTCTTTGTACTCCTCCTCCAATATAACAACCTCTAACCTGCTCTTAGATAGCTGTGCTCTGTGAATGGAATTAACTTTGAGGTTCAAAGCAACGTTTTAAAATGCAGAATTACACAAGTGATTTACTGTAATGTAAGTTATTGCCTAAGCATAATCTGTTAAGGCTACAAACTGGTAAAGTGCAATCAACTGACTTCAAACTTTCGGCAACTCTTGCATGACACAAAAGTAAAAGTGCACAGAACTACATTTCAAAATGTCAAATGGGCCTTAAGAAGGAGAAACTTGGGGTTCGCTTTGGTCACTCCAGCCGAAGGTTTGTAGACATAATATCGAAAAGATTGCAACTCCTGAAAATTAGATTCTGCGACTGTGGGTTTACAAAATGTTTAATAATAAGTCAAATCGAGTCTGTTGTTAATCATAAAATAATTAAAAGATAATGTAAAACTGGGGATAAAAGTAGCATTAATAGTAGGGTAAGTCTGGCATCTCCTGAGCGAATTGCCAATTACAGAACATTAAAATCTAAAACTGAGGGGCAACCCATGAAACATCTGCTTTTGCTCTTTGCAGCTTTTGCAAAGCTTTCCTGAAAAGAAAAAAAAAATCATTACAGTAGTCAACTCTGTTGGTGATAAAAGCATTCATCTGCCTTTCAATATCTGGCTGCACTCCTGAGAAGATAAAAGCCAATTTTGTTGATTTTTATGATGTGAAACTCAAGACAGGATCAAAAAGCGCACCAAGGTTACTAGCTCGGGGCTTGATGTTCAGTGCCAAGGAGCTTCAGTTGGTGCACAGTTTCTCTCTCTGGGCCTTTGCTCCAGTAATTAACTACAGTAACTTCAATGTTTGAGCAAACTGCCAAAGAGCAACCAAGACCAAACGACACTGATGAGAAAACAATGTAAATCACCTCAAACCAAAAAGTACATCCTAAACTGGATTATTTCATGTTCATATCAAACTGATAAAGTGTATTTTCGAGTCATTAGAGCTACATCTTGATCTAATTCAGCAGCTGAATGATGTCACATACTTTTCGCGTGAGTGAATGAAACAAGGGCTGAACCGCGTTCTTTTTTTTATTGTCACTTGTAAAGATTACATACTTCAGTGAGAAAACCAAATAACATAAAGTTGCAAAACAACCTTCAGAAGAAATACTGCGTTGCAATTAATGAGTTATAAATTTAAGAGCGTCTAAGCTCTCTTATGATGTGCAACGAGTGAAAATTTGTACTTTTTCCCCTCTAAAATTTCACTCAACCATGTCTGACCGGAGGGAACTTTATGCAGTTCAATGCATCTTTTCATAAGACCTTCAAAAATGCATATTCCATTAGAAATGTAATCTCAAACTAAATTATTCCATTTGTTTTGTAAGTTTGGTCCTCAAAACAGCTTAAATTAAAGTTAAAAATCCAATTTCTTAATTAAAGGGTCACTCAGCAGTAACTACTTCTACTACAGTTTACCTGTTTTACTTCCTTCTGTAGTTAAATTCCTAAATTATTATTATTTTTCTCTCACTGTCTAATTGAGTGACAGTTTGATGCTTTTCCCTCCGCTGCCGTGCAAAGAATCACAAAAACCTGGATCTTTGGCACAAGGATTTCCATATCTGATCCTGTGGTTTAAAGAGGCATTTGGTGTGATCAGCTCATAACCAGGTGCAGGCAAAAGCTACAAAATACACGAACCACAGCCCTACCTGCCAGGTAGCAATGTGGTAGTCGTGAAATTAAATTTCCTCGGCAGCTCCCCGCCTGTGTCTTGGGGCTGAAAGCCGGGCTGTTTTATACATTGGAAGGCACAGGCACACAGAGATACCAAACCATCCTTTACCTCCTTTGATGTTGGCGGGGCACCTGAGGGGGAGAATATGGAGAATGTGTTGATTACAGATTCAAGTATTCAGTACACACACACCGATGCTGCGCACAGTATATAGCAGGAGGCTCGGCATAGCAGTTTGATAGTTTGTGGTGAAAGTGCTGGCAGGGGCACAGCTCTCCTCATCCTGCCAAGTCTGTGGTTTCATATTGTGATTATCAGCTGCAGATGTGAATCAGAGTATAAGCTATATAGGCTGTTCTTTCTCACTTTGGTCAAAAATATGGGCTTTATGTGGGCTTTTTTTTGAGTATTGTATGTCAGTTGCTGAATGCCTTTATCCATGGTACCTTAAATAAGCATAGATGGTGCAGAGCCTTTAAGGCTTGGCTCCAAACACCAAAATACCAGTGTTCAGTTAACACCATGAGCCTCACAATTAGCAGTATATCAGTTTCCCCCCCCCAATATTACACATACCGCATTTGGTTTTGAACAAAGCCAGAACAGGTGCACAAACTTTTAAAACAAAATCCAGTTGCAGAAGATGACAGAGTGGCATAAATTGCTTGCGTGTATATTAAGTTTTGCTGACCCTCTGCTGATTTCCTACTGGGCGTCTGTCTTTGCACAGAGCAGCTATGTAACATGTAAAAGTCAACCAATGAAGGAGCAGAGGGCACCACTACAACTATTGGGCAATGCTATAGCATTACCTCAGTTTCCACAAAACAAGACGGCAGGTGGCTGCCTGAGCGACAAAGCAGTGATTATCAGCACATCTCTGGCAGGCAGGCAGATACCGAGAAAATGACTGTTAACCAGCTTACGCTACATTTCCTTGGACGCCATGAATGAGAGATAAAGATCGCTGCATCTGCTGCACACATAGTGCCACATACAAACACTACATCTCTCTCACTCTCTCCCCTCACGCACACACAAACGTGCATAGACACACTCATGCTGAAAATGAGTCACCGCTCCACTTGCAGCACTCTGACCACAGTTGAGCCTTGACATTTTCTCATGCCTCCAATGTATTTACCAAAGTTCAGACAGGAAGGACACGTCTCTCACTTTTCCTATCATGTAACCCACTTGTAAACAAAGATGCTGATCAAAACAAAAAAATTAAACAACAACAAGGCAAAAAAAAGAAGCGTATTGTCTTTTTTTTTTCCACGATGACAAACCACTCAATTCCAGCTTGTTTTTTTCTTCCCTTTTCCCGCCTTTGAGCCGCCACTTTTGTTTCCCTTCATGTCCGCGTTGTAAAGAGAACTTCTGATGGGTTTTCAGAGGAATGAAGTATCCGAAACAAACTGATTTTTCACGAGAGCACAATGTCTCGCTGATACCACACTCAACAATGAGAAGAGGAAGAAAAACTTTTATTGTTTCGAGAAATACGCTCACATTGTTCTCGTTTCTAGACGTTACGTCAGAGGGATTATTCCGGGACAAGCTGCAACCAGTTGAGCAAAAAAGTACATTCCTAACAGCTGATTGGCTAGTTTAATTAATTTAACAGATTAAAAAACAATGTATAATCAAGGATGCTGAAAAAATGGAAGTTTAAACTTTAAATCCACTGAGTGGAAATGTGTTATTCATCTAGCTTTAAAAAAAACATTAAGAATATCAGTTATTTAACTTTTCTTTCATCGGGTGTCTCAGCCGCTGATGGGACTGCGGAGTATTTTTGACCTACACAAATATTTTTTCACAATGAAAGACCTCACTTGCTTTGCATCGCTAGTTTTAATGTTGATACTTTTGGATTTTATTCATCCGTTCTGAGCTGTCATCACTTTCACTGCCCCGTGTGATGACAGAAATCCGTCCAGAATCGAAGGAGTGGAAATTCGAACCATTAAATCTTTTACAAGACGCTTTTAAGTGTGCCCAACGATGTGCTTGATCCTGCAGAGACAAAGGTAAAAAGGTTACTGCTCTTGGACTGTAAACTGAACGCAGGAACACAGGCAGAGAGATTTATGCTTCTGTATTAACAGACCCTGGGTTGTAGACTTCCACCCCGGGCTGGAATAAGAAGCAGCGTGCAGTGAAGTCACTGGCTGAAAGTTTGGCATGGATGGGATAGAGGGAATTGAAAGAGACAGAGGAGACAGAGGAGTTTGGCTCCTGCGTCAACCACTGAATTAAAAAATAAGAAGAAAGATGACATGCTGCCTTATTTATCCATATGTTGCATATTATGGCATCTGTTTACAATTTATTTTATTTACTTTGGTGATGCTTGGCCCGGGTTGATTAACATTTTCTGCAGTGTTTGTTGTCTTCTGGAGCAGGGTTTGACTGGCACTCGGTGATGGCTGTTTGAAGTGAACACAGCCTCGGCTTTGAAGCTTGGGGGATGAAAGCAGAGCATCCAGATATGACTAGCGGATAATCTAGAAATGAATTTTGGCTGCCTCTGAAGGCGACCGACAGGCGACAAACATGTTTCTAGTTGTTGATTAAATGTTATTTGAGATTCAGTGATGCAAGGACATAAAACAGAAATGGAAACTCCTTAATACACATCAGGAAATAAGTTAAATATGTTTGTTTAATGACAACAAGCTGCGGATGTTGGTGACCGAGCAAAGAATGGCCTATCTCTTCTCTGAGACAGCTCCTTTTATTTATGAGTAATGCTGTTTGCAATTGTGGCTGTAATTAACGTTATTAATCACTGTTTCCCAGCACGATCACAAATGTATCTCTTGAATCACTACATCTAAATGTGTTAAAAAACCGCAGTCCTATTAAAAAAACAAAAACAAAAACCCCCCAAAAAACCTTTAAAGTTTGCAGAAAGACAAGCAGACATCATTTGAAGAGCGATCTAAAAAGTTTTTTTTAAAGCTTTTAAAAAAGAGATATGTCTGTCTGCCTGTCTGCTGCAGCTCATCACAGATAAGTTTCTTAAGTCAATAGTTGACAGGAGAAAAACACTAATCCACACAATATTCCCTAAAAAACCCCATCTCAAATATAAATCCTTCTGGCAAGCGATAAAGTGTGTTTGGCTTTGAATTTTCTCTCTAAGTTAATAAACTTAATGTTCTGCATGCTAATCCTTGCCCATAAAAAAAAACCATAACATCACATAAATGCAAGCTATTTGACAGAATATTCTAGTCACAGTTGCACCTTCAGAATTTTTTCATAGGGGTGGCCATATAGGGGCCACTAAAACATTGGGGTGGCGCACCAAAAAACAGAATTTTATTATGCTGTTGTCAAATATAGGTTACTTGAAAAATATGGCAAAAAAGAGAGAAAGAAAATAATTATATGCCTAGTCAATTCCCTTGTATTAAAGTTGATATCACTGAAAATAGATACATATGAAAACCAAATAAGTCCCAGTCATCGTTTCAATGATTCTCAGCAGAGCTGAGCAGAAGCGGCTTAAGATTCACTCCCCCAGAATGGGGTGGGGAGTCACTGGGAGCAAATTTCGGGGGTTGACCAGTGCCCCCCCTTAGTGGCGCCCCTGCTTTAATCAAATTAATTCTTAAGGTGTAATTATTTAACTGAGGCTAACAATGTTTAAAACAGTGTGTGTGTCGTGTACTGTATACTATATCTAGAGGAAGAAGATAACACACACAAAAAAATTTAGACAAGCAATACAGTTTTTTTTAAGGAGAAAAAACCAAAATGATTTTATATTATTACAAAAAAAAAAAAACCCCAAAGGAACCAAATCTGTTGAATCTGTTATCACGTTTATTGTAATTATAAAGAAAAGAATGAAATCCTTGCTTTGCAAATTAATCCCAATCAACTGGCTGATGAAGGTTCAGCAATTAAACTGCATTTCAACACTGCTGATGGACTGCACAGAAGGGAAAAAAAATGAAAGTGACTCTTAAAGCAGACAGAGATGAGCAGATGTAGTTTGCTGAAAGCCTCTGTGCATGTCTCTAAAATACTCACAACTTACTGAACACAGTAATTTGACGTTTTGCAGATTGTTACCAACACTGACATCTACTGGCCAAAGGTTTAAATGCAGACATGCGCTCAGGAGCTGGTGGAATCTGGTCCTAAACTTGTTTTGCTATCAGGGAATTTCAGTTATTACTTCCGTTCTTATTTATTTCTTTAAAATCTCAGTAATTATAAATAAGAAATAATAAAGAGAAACGCGTTGTTATATGCAGTGTAAGAAGAAAAAAACGTAGGTAAGGTGGGTACAAGATAAGATGTCTACTTGTTAGGGTTTTGTTTTTTTTTTTGTTTTTTTTGGCAGCTGTACCCGGTGCAAAGGAAGCACCTTAAAGTTTGGGCAACGATCACTAAACCACACGGCTACGTTTCTGCGAAATCATACGCACTTAAACAAAACTACAGAAACGCGCACAGCACCGCTTTGCATTCAGAACCAAGTGGATAAAAGCAATGCAAAGTTTCTCAAGAAATTCTTTATCGTATGCATCATAACTGTAACGTAATTTCCACCTAAATGCAGACAAATCTTTAACAAGAATGTCTGACTCTTTTTTGAATGTGAAAAATAATGCTTAATCAACATAAAAATAGCTAAACCACATCACTAAAATCCAGTTATAATGACATCCATGTAGATTTTATGGTATTGTTATACATGCCACACTGTAAAACTGGCGTCATTATAAAAAATGTTATTAAAAAGGCACAGGTACAGAGGTAACAAAAACTAAACAAAAAACAATAGAAAATTATACTCACTGTGTAGCAGAATAACCTCCTTTTGTTTGAATTATTTGGATTTATCTTATACTCGAAATACATTATTATTGCATAAAACACAAAACTCGAATTAAATACATTTTTAAAAGCTAAGAAAAACATTTAAAAAATTGTACTTGATTGCCCCTGCATACCTGAAGAAATGCACCTACCACTAAAATAATGTAATGTCTGGTTATAGGCGTTATAGTGAGGGATGAGACTATCCTGCAGAGTGAATCCTGCACAGAAAAGCCTTTGCTGTGGTCACAGGTGCTCAGTTTCAACGCACCATTGTAAAGGTGACTACTGTATGAGCCCTGAGAGCTCATTGGTCCTGCTATGAATTGGACAAGCATGAGGTAACATTCCAGAGGCTGATAAGTCAACCCGAAAAACGGGGAGCTTATTTTATGTGATGCTGCCATGATGATGATGACGATGATGATAAATTGCGTGCCGCGAGGAGCAAACTGCGCATGCGTGGAGGTAATGTTCCCAGAGAGAATTCAGCAGGGCTAGATGTTCATTCTTTGCTATTTCCGTTTCGTGATTTTTTCCCTCTTTAGTGTCATTTAAAGAATCAAATCTAAAAGCACGAGAAATGAAAGACAATAGAAGCAAGACAGAATACGTGTGTGAATAAAAGGAGGCAGGTGTAACGATGAAGCTGCACTACCCCAAGCAAGGGGAGGTGAAGAAGAGAGTGCAGCAAGGGTGGCTTGATGAGATGAGTCTCAGGGATGATGTGGATACCACAAAAGTGAAAGGGAGGGTTTAAGAGAAGATAGTGAGACTTGCTATGATGTATGGCACTGATAAAATGAGAGGCTTCGCCTAAGATGTTCAGATTTTCATTGGGAGTGAGCAGGATGGACAGGATTAGAAACGAGTATTTCAGAGGGACAGCTCAGGTTGAGCAGTTTAGATATAAAGTTAAGGAGGTTAGGACGTGTGCAGAGGAGAGATAGTGGATAAAAGGGTAACAAAAGATGTTGAAAACGGAGCTGTCAGGCAGGATCCTGCAGGGAAAAAAAAACACAGAGGAAGTTCATTGATGTAGTGAGAGGGTTGGCGTGATAGAGGATGCTGGGGATAGGGTGAAATGTTAGCAGTCTAAAGAATATTTCTTTTGCATGACCATTAATATAGCGAGTGAAAAGTGCAATGTTTCCATCGGAAATAAAGCGGCTTAGAATAATAATTTATTGTCGCCTACTTGAATAAATGTACCTAATGAAAAATAAGGCTACGCGTAAACTTTGAGGGAGTCTCCAGCTACACTTTCCCCACTACTGCACAACTCTAGTGAGCACCATCTTGCTGTGTGACTGTGTTGTATCTTTGGCTCTGACGGGCTGTTGCTGCTGCTGCTTACGTGTCTCCTACGTACGTGACGCCGCACCACCTCCCTTCTCTCTCTCCTCCCTTCGTGCGGTGGACAGGCTCCTTCTCGGCTAGTACTGCAACACACTGAGGTACGTTATGTTTCTTCTTCTGAACCCGAGGACAACCTGCCTTTGAGGTATTTCACAGAAGCGATGATGCTGTCTGTCTGTGGATTCTTATACCAGAGACCAGGGGACTGTCCGCCTCATCCATCCTTTTAACCGGAGCTGGATGCAGGTCGAAGTTCAGGAGAGATGCTAGGCCTGCTCCTTTTAGCTTACTTGCTAATGTCTCGCGGTGCGGTCATTTGGCATTTCGCAGGAGACTCACAGTCAGCAGAGTTAATGAAGTATTTTTCATTTAGGTAATTAAGCCAATTTGGCAGGCTGTGAGCTTCCTGACTGATAACCCTGCTTTAATTTAGCTCACCTTGCCCGCTGCCCATCTTGTTAGCAAGCTAATGCTAATCGATTAGCAGGCGAGGGCAGGGAGATGCTCTCCTCTCTGCTTTTCTTTACAACCTCTTTTTTTATAGTCCAGGAGGCCACTGCTGGTGGTGACTCTAGTAGAAGACTAGAGATTTCAAATTGATTTGATTCATGTCTTTACTGATGTCTTCTTTTCTAACGTAGACAGTGACTTAGGAGGTCCTGAAGGGCACTCATAAAGGAAGTGTGACATTTAATGAATGATCCTCCTCATACTAATATTATGAAATCTGCGCGCTTTTATTCTTGAACTGTTTGTCTTATATATTAGCCTAAAATGATTTAGTTTCCCACTTGACATATTTGTAAGAGAGCTCAGTAAGCTCTCCTACGTGCGGGTTTGTCCTACCTCCATGTCCTCTACGGCCTCTGCCATTGTTGCTCGTAGACACGCGTGGAAGCCATAACTACATAACTACTCACAAGCTGTGTTTGTGCTGTAATCATTGGCAGGATCAACTCCATGAGGGACCCTGGGCAAAAAAAAAGTGTGTCTGGGATTGTACTTGTCAGTGTCATAATTTCCACACTACACACGGAAACTACTGGGTATACTAGTGCTGGAAATCCAAGTTAATCACTTTAGTAGTTAATAGCAGTCTGAGTCATTGATTCTCTGCTTTAGTATGGTTTTCTGTAAGTAGAGAAATAGATCCATGGGCTGGGCTCTCGTTCAGTTGGTAATCCAAGCTTGGGGCCAGTAAATAACTTAACTATTCGTAAATGTCCAATTGACATTAATATGATATTCCTGCTCCAGGTGCTTCCACTGAACACCCGGGTGGCTGGCTTTAGAGATGCTTTAATAGTGAGAACATGCTAGGGATACATGTATATGGGCTGATGTACCAGTCTTTATTAGGGAAATCTGAGCCTTTGAGATGGAGGGGAACATGTTTGGGCTAAACAGACAGAAAAAGCATGTTCATACAGTGTTTTTCTAACATGTGTTATAACTGGTATGAAGGTGCAGTTGTTGATGAAGGGTGAGGCCGCTCATTAAGTAACAAGCCTGAGGGAAACAACAGATCAGAAAGGTTGAAACGAAGGAGTGATGTAGTGTTACAGTTCAGAGTTTATATTCTTATATAATACAGACCAGCTTTATTGCTCTGGTACTCACTGCTCCTTTATTATTATTGTTATTGTTATTAATATTAAATTTTAACTAAGAAATTGTGTGAGCTAGAGTTGCTTTTCACCTGGCCAACATTTCTATCTACTATCAATATTAACATGTGTGTTATCAAGTCCCCGTGCAGCTATTTATGATTGTACGTGAATCTGTTCTAATGACGAAATAGACCCCATGCTTTGCACAACAGGCACTTCATGAAAATGAAGGACAGTCAGTCACTCACATGCATGAGAGTAGGCAGTCTAGACGGTTATCAAAGGGGTCACTTTGCATTTCAGTCTGAGCCCTCTTTGTTCTTGCTCTCTCGCTTTTTAACTTGCCTTATTCCATTTTAAAAACTTAAAATTTAATTTAGAAAATCTGCTAGCTTAAGTGTCAGAATATCCCAAATTTGACCTTAAATCTGAAGTAGTTTCAAGCAGAGTGACTGAAAGAATCCACAGAAGCATTCATACAATATAAACTTTAAATATGTCCATTAGAGTAAATGAAAAGGTTATTATTATTATTAATGTGGCAGTTGCATCCTAGCTGACCAGTTTGCTCTGAAGTGTGCACGTTTAAAGGAATGTAGTGCATGTAAGACAACAATGCATCACATCTATATGATTGTTCTTCTGCTGCAGTGTTGCCATTTCGAGCTCTACTTGTTTTAAAGCTGCAGTACTCAAGGGGTTGGGGGCGGAAAGAGAGTTTAAATTAAAAAAGATATTTAAAGAGATAGTTGCACTTTTTTCTGCCTTTGTTGGCAATCCTGTTTTCTCATTTCAGATAATGGCTGTACCTCCCACCTATGCTGACCTTGGAAAGTCTGCCAGGGATGTTTTTACCAAAGGATATGGTAAGCACCACTGAGCATCACTTTATTCATAAGCTTTTAGTGTAGTCTACTTGGAAGGAAAAGGGTTTGAATAAATCTCTGACAAGTGAATGCTGTGCCTCAAAAGACATCTGGAAACCTCCTTTGGGTCATCATGATACTGCATAACTGAAGTGGTTGCATATTGGTACAACACATACACCACGTACTTTGATAGAGGTGAAGAAGCCTGGAAAACCATGTTTTAAAAAATTGAAGTTGAGGATTTTTAATGCATGTTACCTTCTGATTTTGAGGGTTTTTTTGTGTTTTGCATTAAAAAGGTGATTTGGAGTTCATTTTATTTCCACTTTTACTTAATAATCATTTATTAAACTGTTATTGTGTAAATCTTCTGTCACTGGAAGAATATTTTGATGTTTTTTTGCACTGAACAATTAATTTTGTTCTCTGAATCAATGAGAAGATTTCTTGGAAGCTATGATAAAACACTTCCCCTCAGAGATTGCGCAAAATCCAGCCACTGCACACAATGCAATATCAAATGAAAGTGATTGATTCAAACCAGTCACAGTCCTGTGTATAGCTTACCAGTAGAGGAACTCATGTTGCACACTGGGCCTACAGTTAAACTGGATGTCCTTGGATTGCGTTTGTGTAAATATGCTGCTATTCTCGGATCATTGCCAAACGATGTCCGTTGAGAATCTGGGGAATTCACAGTTCTTGAAGCTACTGATTTGTATGTGGCATCAATACTGAATTAATGCAAATATAACATTGATTGTAAATGGATAATAAAAAAAAAAAAAGCAGGCTCAAGTGTTTGGTTTAAGAAAAAAGCCTCCCTTTTTTTCCTGGCAAGTGAGACTGACTGGTCAATGATTTTTTTTTTTTTTTAAACGGCTGTCTGTGTAAATAAAACTTATCTTAGTTATTTTGAGTGTTATAATATTTTATGTGTTACTTTTAAGTGTGTCATAAGTTTTTACCGGTCCCATAAACTTAAAAAAAAGGATAGTCTCGAGGACTTTAACCCCTGTATATGTTGCCTTTTCAGTGAAGGTGGACTGCAAAATCAGTCGAGAATTTAAGTTACGTTATGTTGAGTATGGCTGGTGAATCAACTGACAGCTGTAATGCCAAACAGTGCCATGAATTGGGTCAGTGCGGCCCACCTTCTGGCTATTATTCATAACTAACAGCAACTAATGCTTTTAGAAGATTGACATCAAATCAATGCACGTTAAGTCAGTGGCATATAAATCACTTAAAAAGTACTCTGGTGGCTAATGAATGGGTATTTCACAGACCAGAATCAATATCTTGATTTAATGTGTACTGAATTTTCAGAAAACACTCTTTAAATGATTATTAGTCAAAATTTTGCTTGAGTACCACTAATAGTATAGTAATTAAAGCAGTTTTTATCCTGAGAGCTTGCTAATGCTTGTAAATCTTTAAGAAAGTTGTTCCATAAGCAAGACTGTTTCAGAGTGTTGTTTTTTTTCTCCATATGGTGGTATAGTTACATTGTTGTACATACTGTTGATCTTTTGAACCATTTTCTGTTTCAGGCTTCGGGCTCATCAAGCTGGACTTGAAAACAAAGTCTGAGAATGGACTGGTAAGTCGTCATTGGTCATTATCAGATTAGCAGGGCTGCCAGTTGATGCCGCAGCAGTACTATCATAGCTTAAGACCATCCTGGCTGTTAAGTAGCTCATTATCTGATCTTTAAAATGTTGCTAGGATTCATTGACATCTTACCTCAGAGTTAAGGGAAATGGATTTTTTGACCTTGTTCATGCACCTTCAGCATTTTTGAATCTAGTTTCTTATCCAGAGTGCTATCACTGCAAATATAGTTTGGACCTGGACCATAGAAAAGCATTTTATTGATAGATTTTACTAGTATTAGTCTTGGTGTTCCACATTAACAGAGTTGTGGGTGTCATCTATCATCTGCAGGAGTTCACCAGCACTGGCTCTGCCAACACCGAGACCAGCAAGGTAGCTGGATCTTTGGAAACCAAATACAAGTGGGCAGAGCACGGACTGACCTTCACAGAGAAGTGGAACACGGACAACACTCTGGGGACTGAGATCACCATCGAGGATCAGGTGATGTGCTGTGATGGCAGAAGAATGAGACATAGATTTCTGCTGGCAAAAGAATCTGTGATTTATAATCAATCATTAAAATTGAGGCTAAAAGCTTACAGACCAAAATTTCAAGATGTGCAATTTAAAATGGTTTTACACCATAGCGCTTTTTGTTTATTTTTCTTCCTGTCATTCTTTTAAATGTCATTCTTGCCTTTTTCACAGTTGGCTAAGGGTCTGAAACTTACATTGGATTCCTCCTTCTCGCCAAACACCGGGTAAGAACAGCTGCATTTTTGTTTGTTGGCTTTTTTGCTGTAGTAAAGCTTAAAGCAAATGGATGCAAAAACTACATTGCAGGAATGCCAACTGTACAATCAGTGAATTAATATATGTAATGTCTATCATATGAAAGCAAACATCCACAGCCTCATGTATGGGTGCCCAGCTGATTGATGCATTTTAATTTGCAACAATAAAAGAGGTTGATGGGAAGTAAAAGGGCAAAAAGAAATGTCAGTATCATGGGTCACTGCATAAGTAAACTGCAACTGGCATATGGGTAAGTGACATGTTAAATTTCTGCAGGAGTGCCTGTGATGGTGCAGTCTACTCAGCTACAATAATTTAATAAGGGACATGTTGTAAAAAGCACTAGTTCACCTGGTTTGTGATAAACCAGTTTTTTTTTCTTTTCACTGTCAGAGCAGTTTTATGTTTCATGCTGTGAGACAACAATGTCAACCTGTATTTTTTTTCCCTGCAATCTCCTGGCAGCAAAAAGGGCGGAAAGCTCAAGACGGGCTACAAGTGCGAACACATCAATGTTGGCTGTGACGTTAACTACGACATCAACGGCACAGCCATCCACGGCGCAGCAGTGGTGGGCTACGAGGGCTGGTTGGCTGGCTACCAGATGACCTTTGAGGCTGGCAGGAACAGGATTACCCAGAGCAACTTCGCAGTTGGATACAAGACTGATGAGTTCCAGCTCCACACGAATGTGTAAGAGATGCTGATATGGCCTCCTCGCCTCATCTGTGTGCAGTTTTAGTAATCTTATGAAGCTTGTGTTATTGCAGCTACGTTGCTGTTGATTTGATTTATTTAATAGAAATTCACATTTAAAATATAAGGAGTAAAATATTACTGGAATAATGATGTGTCTGATGAACAAGCCACACTGAAACATTCCTGAATTGGCATCAAGCAGTATACAAGCTTACTGTGCAGGCATGCTGTGTGTATGTGTGGGATTTTATTTGAGTCTTCGTGGATAAAACACTCGGACGTTAGGTGAATGCTTCTGTCCTGTTGTAATGGACATTGTAAGTCAAAGGCTAAACGTTTAAGTTATTAGTGACTCCAGACCAGTGCATGGCTAGACAAGAACTTCCAAAGCCCTCTTTTTTTTGTCCTTGTCTGGATGATTGACTTGTTGCCTGTTTGGCACTTTGCCTGACACCCAGGTGCCTTGCGGTTATTTTTATACACAGGTGATGGGATTTACTACCTTGCAAGTGAGATGGAGTGAGTGTTTGGCAGGCTTCAGTGAAAATGTAGCACGAAGTGGTGTCAAGACGGTGAGCAAGAGGGAGGGACAGGGCACGGTGTTAGTCATGGTTCCTGCTGTGCCTCTGACCGAGCCTGTCTGAGTCTGCTTGTAAAGTGGTTAATATGAAGTCAGACAAAGTGTAGTATAGGCTTTACACCAGTCACAGTTCACTCAACTGTGGATGTCTTTGACACGCAAGAAGTTTATGAAACACAAACTCATAATTTAATGTCACCTCTGTGTAGCAGCATTAAATATATTGCAAATATCTTTTTCCTTAGAAACGATGGTACCGAGTTTGGTGGTTCCATCTACCAGAAGGTGAATGACAAGCTGGAGACGGCCGTCAACCTGGCCTGGACTGCTGGAAACAGCAATACCCGCTTTGGCATCGCTGCCAAGTATCAGATTGATCCCGACGCATCCTTCTCTGTGAGTAGTGTGTAAACTGAAGTGACTTAGATCCTTCTGTGCCAGGGTTACTTTATTGCTGCACTGTTAGACAGGTCAATTGTCGACCGTTTGATAGGGATCTTGTAATGCAGGTATATATATATTAGAAAATGCACTGTGTCATGCAGTGCAGGTGCATGGTCTTAAAGAAATGCACTCATGCTAAAGAGGAGGAGTGTCTGCAAGTGAAGGTTTGGACTAATTTAATCGTTAATGCCACAATTCAGGTCTTATGTCGCCCTCTTCTGGCAGTGAAAATTACACAATCACTGTATGTCTTTGCTATCGATTGTGTTCTGTAGTCACCGACTTTCTTTTACTCTGAGCATCAGATACTCTTTTTGGATGCTTCCTTGTTTTGTTTTGTTTTTTTTTTATGTTTTTTTTCCCCCAACACTATTCCCATTCACTGTTGCTCACCCTTTCTCTTCCATTAAGACAAACCAACCATTCCTACCTGACCTGAAATGCATCATCAATGCAAGTGCACTGGCATGGGAACGGTGCCACAGACACCATATTTCAAACTAATGTACCTGGCGCTGATGATTTTAATCAGTTTTGTCTGACTTCTTTTGGGCAACAGCTTGACTGTAACAGATGTTTATTTCCTTATAAAAGCTGGAATTCCCACTCGAAGCAGAGATACTTAATCTGACTGTTTGTTAGTGTACTTATCTGCATTATTTCAGCTTCTATTTTAATGACAGTGCCACTCATAAATATTTTAATCTTTTAACTGGGTAAATGTTGCGTTTCTAAGAGAGTTTATAACTACTGCTCATTTCCAACCCATGTGGCTAGTTGGTATTTTACAGACATAATGCGTAAATACAATTTACAGTTTTCATTTTCATGAACGCCCCTGTGCATTATAGACACAAAAACCTGCTGAAGAGAAGCTGTTTTTACTGTACTGTTGCTTTTTTTTTTTAGGGCTATTAACTTCTTTGTTTAGTGAGTAAAAAAACCCCACATTGTAATGTGAAGTTCTTTGTTCATCTTCTATGTATAATATTGATCTGTGGTTCCCTCACAGGCTAAGGTGAATAACTCCAGCCTTGTGGGCCTGGGCTACACTCAGACTCTGAAGCCAGGTGAGTGAAGTCTCTGCAGACGTTAGGTGTGCTTAAATAGACCTGACTCTGTTCACAAAGACAGTTCAGTTATTATATTAGGTTTCATCAGGGGAAGTGCACATTCACTTGCACGAATATTGGATGGAAAACATCTGAAGTGTGTGTCCACGAGCTGTGAATGAATGAGTTCACTCAGCAACCCTTGTAATGTTTAAAGTGTTAATGTATTTGTGGCTTATGTGTTTTCCTAGGTATCAAGCTGACACTTTCTGCTCTCCTTGATGGCAAAAACATCAACGCTGGCGGTCACAAGCTTGGTCTTGGTCTTGAATTCCAGGCATAGAAGGATGGGGGGGAAAAAATCCTTCCAGTCCTCAAAACACACATGCATCCCCCACCAAAAAGATCCTTTATTGATTAGCTCTCCTTCACAAATCCCTGTGTCCCCTAAAGATGTTGTATAGCTGGAAGCAAGACAGCGTAAAGGTCAAATTGTTCTTGCGCCAATTTACCACTTTTTATGGACCATTTCTGGGAACATTATATTTTGAAATGAAAGAGCCCACTTTAGAACAAAATTAGAACTGTTGAACAGAAGGTTTTATCTTGAATTGTGTAGCTTGCAAGGGAAAAATAGCCTTGAGTACATTCAAGTTGGCCTCACTTTTTTTCGTTCATTTCACAACATTCGTGCATAATGCTTTAATTTGTGTCTCTGCTTTCCAATGCAGTGAAAAGGGAATCAAAATAGATCAGCCCGAAATGCAAAAAGGGCTCAGCACAGTTAGTCTCTGCAGTTTAGTAGTGGCCACCGATGGTGCTGTTGAATAGCACCAGCAAGCGCTCCTCACTCAAAAGGCATAGTGATGAATTCATTTTTATTTAAGCACGTTGGCACTGGAGAGCCCTAGTATCTGTCTTGATATATTGTACAATGGGAAGGGTTAGTTGTCCCTGGTGTAAGCAGCTGTGAGTAGCTCAAAGAGACACTACAACCCGACGTGTACATTCTGTGTTTTTGTCTCACTTGTCTTTTTGTGTCTGTGCATTTGGTGTGAATCATGTCTTTTGTTACAAATAGCAGAAATAATGTTATTTTATTGATGGTCTTACATAGTTTAATGCACCTGAAGTCTTAGGAAGGGAAAAGACTTGTCAATTCTTCCTGGTCGAGCAAACAGGATGCAACCCATCACGCACACAGCCGAACTTCTCTGGGTGAGAGCTAGAGTGCTTCTTTTGAAGAAGAATGATGGCCAGGAAATTGTAGTCTTCCACAAATGATTATGGGAATCATGCTTAGTGTACTTGGCAGTATTGTCATTCCCTGAACTAAATAAAGAACATCTTGAACCGGTTTCTGAGCGTATTTGTTCTCCTGTCTTTTGTCGCATGACCATAACTGGTGTGATCATAATGTCTGCCCACATGAAAACACTCTTGAACAGACAGGTGGGTAATTTATTTTTACAGCTGAAGATGATTTGGATGGGAGCACGTGACTCATTGTTACTGATAAATGTTTGGTTTATGAAGTGGAGAGTTACAAAGATCTAACATCTTCCACATAAACCTTCTGATCACTCTCACGTGAAATTATTTGAACATAAGCTCACAGCTCTTCATTAGATAAACCTATTCCATTGGTTAGTCTAGCCAAAAATACGGCAGCAATCTGACCTTTATTAGTCCCACACGTGGGAGATTTCCTGTGTACAGCAGAAAGTGGGCAGTGCAAAGTTACGTAGCAAAAATGAAAAACACTGCAATAGGATAAGATCATAAGAACAAGATACTATATACAATAGAATAAAATGCAACATTGTCAGAAAAAGAGAATTACACTTAATGTTATTGCATGCGTGGATGTGTGTGTTTGGTCAGCTGAAAAGTCCTTGTTGTGGAGTCTCACAGCAGTAGGAAGGAAAGACCTGTGGAATCTTTCCATCCCACATTGTGGGTGCCGCAGCCTGCCATTGAAGGAGCTGTTCAGTGCTTTCAGGGTCTCCTGGATGTGGTGGGCAATGTTTTTCAATAGGGATGACAGCTTAGCCACCATTCTCCTGTCACTCACCACCTCCACAGGGTCAGAGAGCATCCTAGAACAGAGCTGGCCCTCCAGATCAGCCTGTTCAGTCTCTTCCTGTCCCCAGCAGAGATGCTGCCGCCCCAGCAGAACACACAGCAGAATCTCCGCAGCAGTTACAGCCTGATCCTTAATCAAGATGACCTGTTGAAGTTCCCATCATGCATCAGAAATGTTAAGGTGATTCAAGTTTGAATGTGTTATGGTTGGTTGTAGCAGTGGGTTGGTTTGACTATTTCAGAAACTGCTGATCTGGGATTTTCCCTTAAGATATCCAGTTACGACGGTTCTCTGGGTGAAAATGTTCTGTTGCTGTTAGAAGAGAATGTCCAGACTGCATCGAGCTGATAGCAAAGCAACAGTATCTCAAATGACAACTGAGATACTGCCAACCAGGTTATGCAGAAGACCATCTTTAAACTCACAACATGCTGATGGAGATGGGCTACAGCAGCATTCAGATGCCACTCCTGTTGGCTAAGAACAGGAACCCGAGGTTACATTGCACACAGAATTCCTTTTGCACACAAAGGAGGAGGGGAAAAACGAGTGATGAAGAATGAGTTGATTCCTGTTGCAACCTTTGAATGGTATGATTGGAATTTTGTGTAAGCAGCAGGACAGCATGGCTCTAGCATGCCTTGTACAAACTTTGACCCCTTAGTATCATCTGGGCATCATTTAAACACATGACCAAAGTCTGCCCATGTTCTGATGACCATGTCAAGTAGGATATTGCACCATGTCAGTAAGTTCCGAAGAAATAAATAAAGAGGTTCTGGAGACAAAAGGGGATCCAAGCCCTGTACTAGTAAGGCATACCTAATAAATAGGCCCAACGGTATTTTTTGTCTTTTTAAGCATAATTATAACAAGTGCCACATAAGATGAGTAGACTCAGTCTAACATACGACGCAATTACTACATTCTGACCTATATTTATCGAGGTAAATTACCCTTTATCAGTGAATGGAGAAAATATGTGAACTCTTACTATTAGCGGCAAATTATATATGTTTGTTATAAGTTACAAGGTGACATAACATTAGACGGACTAATATTCATAGACTAAGCTCACTTCACTTCAAACTTCACCGCTCACAACTGATTCGTACACTCACACCGCCCACAGACTGTGTACGTCCGCACTCAGCCACGCCCCTTCACTCACGCACCAACATGGCGACATGCGGAAATATGTGGCGAAGCAGAAGAATTATTTTTGATCTTTTTCTGACTATTGTTCTCCAGCTCTTGGTGAGCAGCTGCCTGTCGGCTCCTTTGGATGGAAATGAAACACAAGGTATGTCGTACTTGTTTGAAGTATCTGAGACGAAGTTTCCTTTAAACTTAGCCACAGGGTTTACCCCTGCTCTAGCTAGTTGGCTAGCCCGTCATGCTAGTATCCGCCTTGTCAGGGGAAAAATAAGGCAGGTAACAGGCTTTCTCTGTTTCGGAAAAATGACTTAGTCGTATTTTAAAACTCAAGCCTTTACCCTGGCACTGAAATGCGATTCGGCAAAAATGATTTCTAGTTAAAATATGTTATACGTTGAAGACAGTGCTAATATTTCTTTCAAATAAAATTAAGCGTTTCAACGTTAAGCTGCAAACTGACATGTTCCAGATGTACCACCATATATCTACACTGATTATTAATCCTCTGTCAGTGAGTCATTAAGAAAACCTCCTGACGTAAGTAAAGGGTGTAATATTTCAGTCAGTGGCAGGTATTGTTTTGCCTTGATAGTCTTTGAGCAGTGCTACAGCATTCTTCTGGTTCGCTGTGTTCTCAGTTTGTTAAAAAAACCCATGTGATTGGACTTTGGAGCTGTCAGGATATAGGTTGTTGTCTACTCTTGCCCTTCCCTTCCTCATACTATGATGGTGTGCAACAGACAGCTTATTTCAAGATGTGCTGCTGAGATAAAGGTGTCCTAATTCAACAGAGGTGTTGTTGTCAATTTGAATTGTTTAACATTTCATCCTGTTTTAAATGAAGTTGCATATTTAGCCGAAATAATCTAAAACATCTCTGTGGGTTTTAGGATTTGTGCTATGTCACTGGAAAACAGGATGTTAGAAAAAACAATTGTAGAGAGGGAGGATGACTTCTGTTTGATTAACCTGCTAAATATTTACTTGCTTTAAATTGAAACACTGTACGTCTGTCACATGGTTTTAATGCAAATTCATCTGGAACAGGATGCCACATTATCTTTTTTTAATTATAAAAATGCTTAATTATAAATATTAAGTCATTTGTCAACTGCTTAAAAGCTAAAGTTATATCACAGTGTTAATGCAACAAAGCTTTCCTGTTCAGAGATTATATGGGCCAAGGCCCTTGTATATGAATAGACCCTTTCTTCACTTGGGGATGGCTTACTCAGTGCCTCAAGTCCCCAGTGTTCTCCTCCTGTCACTTGCTAAGCAACGCCTCCCAGTCCCAGAGGATGAAATAAAGTCGACACTTGTTGGGTGAATGGTGTCACTGAAAGAGGAAGGCTGGCTGATTGCAACAGATTCTTGACAATTTAAATACTTTAAAATAAAAGAAAAAGGGAAAAAAAAAAGCTCAGTTCAAAACATGTCCCTTTTTCTGCAATGCTAAATAAACAAAGGTCTTTCAGTTTAAGAGTGATGATGTTTTTATACTGATTATACTGTTATACATGTTAATCTAATCAGTTTTCATTTTTATTAGTTGGATGGCAACGATCCCAGTGTTATTGTGGTCAGCCATTATTGTTATTATTATTATTATTCATCATAGTGTGGCTGCCGCCCTCTGTGGCACGAGCAGCTTGTTTCAGAAATATTCCACCTTTTCTGTTGGTAGAGTCACATTAACTTTGAATGGAGAGACCAGCCTTTCTTACTTTTTTTGCTGTGACTCTCCTTCCTTTGGGCCAATTTTCTCCCAAAATGTTTGTCCTACAAACACCGTTGTCACACCAAATTGACCTGGACAACTGTGCCTACAAAACTAACATATTTTTGTCGCTGCACCTTCAATGGTTTTGCAGTTATTTTCAAAAATGTCACAAAAAATCTCTCAAACCCCTCCCCATTCATTTGTATTAGAGAACTAGAGGAAGACAGGTAGAAAACCTAGACTGAAAAATATCTCTTTAATCTTCAGCTGTAACCACAATTTTCACCCTACAGCCATCATTTTACCCTCAAACTGTAGCCACGCTTGCCTTTTTTCACACGAGCCCTTACTCGAAGCCCAGAGATGTGTCATTTTTGAACTGGAGCCATTT